CGAGTGGTCTGAATCCTGATTGGGTGAGTGGATGACTCAAACCGAGTGGTCTGAATCCTGATTGGGTGAGTGGATGACTCAAACCGAGTGGTCTGAATCCTGATTGGGTGAGTGGATGACTCAAACCGAGTGGTCTGAATCCTGATTGGGTGAGTGAATGATTCAAACCGAGTGATCTGAATCCTGATTGGGTGCGTGGATGACTCAAATAGAGTGGTGCGAATCCTGATTGGCTGAGTGTGAGTGATTTGAATCCTCATTGGGTGACTGGGTAAGTGAGCTCGTTCCTGATTGGGTAAGCATGAGTGATCTGAGTCCTGATTGGGTGAGTGGATGATTCAACCACGGAGCGGTCTGAATCCTGATTGGCTGGGTGGATGATTCAGACAAAAAGCGGTCTGAATCCTGATTGGCTGGGTGGATGATTCACCCACAGAGCGGAATGAATCCTGATTGGCTGAGTGTGAGTGATTTGCATCCAGAATGGGTGAGTGGGTGACTGGTGCTCCCCTGCCCATGGAGGGGCCTCTTACCTGAATGTTTGGGCTTGAAGATCAGAAATAGGAAGAAACCATCAACTGCTGGGGGCCCCGTGTGTGTGTGTGTGTGTGTGTGTGTGTGTGTGTGTGTGTGTGTCAGATTCAGGCTCAGGACAGCAAGGTTCTTACTCGAGACCCCCAGACACTGATATATCCCTGGGAGATGGCCCACATGGTGGGATGCTTGAGTGGGGTGACACAGGGCACCTCGGTAGACCACTTTCTCCCCCTGAAGACCCCACAAGCAAGGGTGGTGGTTAGGGCTTTGCTCTGGAGAATCTCACTTGGTGTGGGACCTGCCCAGCCAAGCTTGGGACTACACGGTACCAGGGTCCAAGCCTGGGGTTCCCACGTGCCAAGTCTGTGCTCCTGCTAGCCCCTGGCCCCGCTCTTTCTGAAACTTTGGTTCTTGATAAAGGAGTCACAAGCAAGGACGGGAGTGGGGGGCACTTGGCGCCCAGCCGGACTGACAGGGGAGCTCCTGAGATAGTCTCCCTGTTCTCCCCACCCCCTCCTGCTTTTGGGGAGAAGACTCACCCCCAAAAGGTCACGTGCCCCGCCGCTGCATGACACCAGGGCCCACCCTGTCAGCCCCCATCGGCACACTCAGCCCTAGCTGGAAGGAACAAAGATACAAGTCTTCATTTTTTTTGCAACAAAAGAAACTATTTATTTGGAATATGCATTACCAGTACAAATTAGGGGACTGTAAAGCCTACGCCGTGTTAGTATTATCAGAGAAACACAGGAGCTCAGGTGGAACCCAGGGGAACAGAAGCTGAAAAAGCTTAAACTTTCAAAACCCAAAGGGAACAGAACTTTGCGGGTTTATACTCTGAGTAATCAGAGGGCGGGGGTGGGAGCTGTCACAGGCTCGCGAGGAAAAGCAATTCAAAATAACTGGAAAACGCCAAAAGGAAAGGGGAAGAAAAAAAGGAGAGGAAAAGAGGCAGGAGTGAAGGACAAGCGTGTATTTTAACAAAAGGGGGGAAAAAAACACATAAGTTTACAAAAAAAAAAAATAGGGAAAGATTCCAGAGCGCTTGGAAGGAGGGATGGAACTTGGAACGGGTGGTGTGGAAAGCTTCTCCGGGTTTTGTTCTAACTTCAAAGCAGAGAGTCGGGGTTTTGGCAGGGGGACCCGTCCCAGGGGGTCCCCCGGCCAGCCCACCCCTCCTCTGACTCTGACGCCCGTTGCTTTCAGGAAATGTCTGCGTTTCTGTGGAACGGAGAGATGCGGTGGGATCTTTGCTTCCAGGACGGAGTTAAAGCATCCCTGAGGGGCCGGGGTGGAGGGTCTGGGGGACCCAGGTGGCCTTCTGATGGATGTCCAGCTGGTGACAGTGGACCTGGCTCTCGTGCCCTGTGTGTGGACTGTCAAATGACCACTGTCCACCTGGGGTCACTCGGTCTGTGCGTGGGTCACTGTCCTAGAAGAATGGTCCTTTCCAGTGGGAAGAGGTGCTCTGGGATGTTCTTGATCAGGAGGGAGGACAAGGAAGCACTTCCGGGTGAAGGTCCGTTATGAAGAGATCAGGTCCAGGGGGCCCAGTTGGATTTCTAGAATGATCTGGAGAACCCAGGTCCCAGACTTCGTTTTTTTTTCTTCCCCGTCCTTGGGGACTGTAGGTGTGGTCCAGGCCCCAGCAGCTCACAGGCCTTTATCTTGGAAGGCAACCGAATCCGAAAGCCCCTCCAAGAGGGAATCATTTCTCCGTGAAGGACCCCCCCCCCTTCTGAAATTTTTTTTTTTACACCACCTCGGATACATATTAAAGGGATGAAAACAGCAAGATTATAATCCTGATCATCAAAAGAAAAGTCCCTCCCCCGCTATCCACAAACCAGAAATCACACAAAACAAAGAGAAAAGGAGAAAAAAAAAATCTGCTTTCTTTTTTTTTTTTTTTCATATTTGAAAGAGCAGGGAGAAAGAAAAAGAACTTATTTCTGGGTCTCTGAGTCCAACATAATCATGGGTGAGGGTGATGAGTCTGTTACGGTCTTACTACTCCAACCTTTTTTTTCCTTTCTTTTTTTAGTTTACAAAACGAATTACTGTCACTTTTAAACGTCGTGGAACAGGAAATGGGAGTGCACGATTCGACACTTTTCTAGCATTCTTGAACTAATTCACAAATGCAAGAAAATCAAAGAAAAAACGGGGGGGCGGCGGGGTGGGGAATGATGAATGTAGGTAGTTTGGTGTTTGGAAGAGAAAAAAAACAAAAACGAACACAGGAAAATGCACATTGTCGCAAAGAGGCACATCCCCATCCTGTTTTCCGTGCTCTGAGGGTCGTTTTTAAAATTTTTTTTTTTATTATAAACACTATTAAATCCAGACCGCCTTTTTTGGTTTTCCCTTTATCTGAATATACAAGAACATTCATTATCAAATGTTCGTCATCGATGCTACAAAGAACAAGACACAAGTCGCAAGAAACAATGGAAAATGTCAATAAAGCTGGAAGGATCTTGAGTCTTTTTTTTTTTTGTTTGTTTGTTCGTTTCTTTTTTTTTTAAAGTTTTTTTTTGATTTTTTTTTAAATTTGAGTTTCTGTAGTTTCATCTTTTTTTGGTATCGAAGTCAGGTTTTTTTTCTGGGCAGAAAAATACAACTTAGAAGAGGATTGGTGGGATGGGGGGGGGGCGGGAGGGGGTAACGCGTGAGAAAAGAGGACCAGAAAATACAACCCCAGCGACCAGAGAAGGGGGAAAAAAAAAAACACGGAGCGGCAGAGGGTTTGCACCGGAGTGGGGTCTGCAGGGTGGGTTCGAGGGGTGAGGGTTGGAGGAGGTGGTGGAGAAGATCAAGGTGGCCAAACCCACCCCAGCGTCTTGCTGGCTCAGGGGAAGACCCCCTTTGGTGTCTGGAGGACGGACCACCCCAGTCGGTGACAGGGGTGACCTGGGGGGCCTTGCTGGGCTTGTTCTCCCGAACCCCCTTTCTGCTGCACCTTCTCTGCCTTGTGCAGTGCCTGGTTGGGGTGCAGGGGGCCGGGGACGCAGAGGAAAATGCAGTGGTGAGTGCGAGAGATGGGGAGAGCCCGATGCCAGGCCCAGTCCGAGATGGGGGCAGCTTGTCCCTCGCTGGCTTTGCACACCAATGGGACGGGGTCCGAGTCTGCCCGCTGCCCCACGTTCGAGGGCGACCCTTTTGCATCTGCATCGTTCACCATCTAGCCCTGCCCTGCCCTGCGGATCTGATCCCTGCGATGCCAGGCGGGCCCGGTCCTTCTAACGGGTCCTTCTAAGCGTCTGTCTCCTGCGTCTTCTCTGTGGCACCCGCCCTCCCTGCTGCAAACGCCAGGCTGAGTCCCGGAGCACCAAGCGTGCGCCCCTTGCAGGCAGAGTCCTTCCCCGATCGGGTCCACGGCAAGGGGGAAACTGAGGACGCCCGCAGGGTGCAGGAGAACCAGAACCTGCTTTGGGGGAGCTTCACTTTGCTCTGAGAAAACATCAAAAACCAACCCAAATCAAAGGCAGAAGCGGCCCAGCAAGGCGCGATCAGGATCACCAAGGCCTCCCCCGTCCTGGTTCCCCTCGGAAGCCCCCTGACTTAGGGGCCCGGGGCGTGGGGACCCAGGCGTCAACCCCTCTCTCCAGCTCAGACCCCCTATTCAGACAAAAGGCATCGCAGACCGTTGGCGTCTCTGTGGCTCTTCCCAGGGAACGGAAAAGCCTGAGCCCGTGGCCGGTCCACACCCTGCTGCCCACCCAGCTCTGTCCTCTGGGCTGTGCCCCCCGCGCGGCCAGCCAGGAGCCCCCCACAATGCACCCCACGTGCTTCCTTCCACAATGCAGGTTCTGAACAAGGTCTGCTGAGAGGGAACCAGGGGGTGCTCCCTGGAGGAGGAAGACCCGTCCCTCTCCCTCCTCCTAACTTCCTTCCTTCCCGGGACTTCACTTGGCCTCAAGGAGCAAAACCTGGGTGCTGGGTGCTGGGTGCAGAGAGGGGGAACCGGAGGCCCCTGCCCATGGGAGGGTGGGAGGGTGAGGAAGGGGGGTGGCATTTATCTGCTCAGAGGTAGTGAGAGTCAAAGAGGAATGGGTGTGTGTGTGGGGAGGGTGGGTGCCTTTTTGGGGACGGGGGCAGCTGAGAGGGGGCCACTCGGTTCCCCAGACCACCAGCATGGAAACGTACAAACACCTTTATTATTTCCTTCGCAGTGATTCTTTTTTTCTTTTTCTTTAAAATTCCTCTAATTGTCAAGAACCTCCTCTGGGGCTATCGTGGAAGGTGGGGGGAGCCCGAGGAGCCTAGGGCAGGGGCGAAGGGGGGTTATGTGTGTGCAGGGGGCGGGGAGGGGCACACGCCGGACGCCAGGGCTGGCTGGGAGGCAGGGAAGGGTGGCTTCTACCCAGAAAAAAAAAGTGGGGTGAGGGACAGTAGAAAGAAGTGTCCAGATTGGCTGAGAGAGCATCCCCAGGGAGAGAACGGCTCTGAGCGTGTCTGCTGATGGCTTCCACCCCCCGGCCCGGCCCCGCGGGGGCACACACGGTCAGCCGGGACGTGGTGCTGGCGGATCAGTTGGAGGTATCGGAGTGGACACTGCCAGGACCTTCTGTGGGGGAAGTGACGGATGAAGGGGTGGTGGCATCCTGCCAGCCTCCGTTAGCCTGCAAGGGGAGAGAGAGAGAGAGAGATGGTCAGCATGGGCAGGGCTGGCGGCCACCCCACGGAGGGCAGCTGTCCCAGATGCACAGGGCATAGCCGGGGCTGGGGGTGGGCAGTGAGCTGGTTAGCCTGCAAGGGGAAGAGAGAGAGAGAGAGAGAGAGAGAGAGAGAGAGAGAGAGAGAGAGCATAGCCGGGGCTGGGGGGGGGTAGTGAGCTGGTTAGCCTGCAAGGGGGAGAGAGAGAGAGAGAGAGAGAGAGAGAGAGAGAGAGAGAGAGAGAGAGAGAGAGCATAGCCGGGGCTGGGGGGGGGTAGTGAGCTGGTTAGCCTGCAAGGGGGGAGAGAGAGAGAGAGAGAGAGAGAGAGAGAGAGAGAGAGAGAGAGAGAGAGAGAGAGATGGTCAGTATGGGCAGGGCTGGTGGCCACCCCACGGAGGGCAGCTGTCCCAGATGCACAGGGCATAGCCAGGGCTGTGGGGGGGGGGGGTGAGCTGGTTAGCCTGCAAGGAGGGGGGGGAGAGAGAGAGAGAGAGAGAGAGAGAGATGGTCAGCATGGGCAGGGCTGGCGGCCACCCCATGGAGGGCAGCTCTCCCAGATGCACAGGGCATAGCCAGGGCTGGGGAGGGTGAGCTGGGGGTCTCCCGGGCCAGGCAGGCTGGGAAGGAACAAGGACAGGGACAGATGCCCAGTGCCAGCCCCCACTCACACCCCAAGGTGGAGAAATACACTGTCAGGACCCCTTTCTTGGTACTTCTCATCCGTCCTGCAGGTGCCAGCCGGGACCCCCAAGGAGGCCCCAGTTTCTCCAAGCACCAACCAGGACCCCCAGTGAATCCCAAGAACCTCCAAGAATCAATTAAGACCCACCAAGAGTCCTTAGAACAGCTATCCACCAATCAGGACTCGCCAAGAGCCCCTGCGCACCTCCACGGACCAATCAGTACCCGCCAAGAGTCCCCGCCCCCAATCCCCATGGACCAATCAGAATCCATCGGAATTCCCTGAGCCCTTCCACAGACCAATCAGTAGCCGCCAAGAGCCCCCGCCCCCAACCCCCATGGACCAATCAGAATCCATCGGAATTCCCTGAGCCCTTCCACAGACCAATCAGTACCTGTCAAGAGCTCCTGCTCCCTCCCCTCCCGCCACGGACCAATCAGAAAACACCAGGATTCCCTGAGAATTCCACAGACCATTCAGTACCAGCCAAGAGCTACCCCCACCCCATGGACCAATCAGAACCCATCAGGATTCCCTCAGAACTTCCACAGACCAATCAGTACCTGCCAAGAGCTCCTGCTCCCTCCCCTCCCACCACGGACCAATCAGAACCCTCCAAGATTCCCGCAGCCTCTTCACAGACCAATCAGTACCCATCAAGAGCCCCCGCCCCCAATCCCCATGGACCAATCAGAATCCATCAGAAAGTCCCCTAGACCTTCCACAGACCAATCAGTACCTGCCAAGAGTTCCTGTAACCCTCCCCGCCCCCGCTGCCACGGACCAATCAGAACCCGTCAACATTCCCTGAGCCCTTCAACGGACCAATCAGTACCTGCCAAGAGCTCCTGCTCCCTCCCCTCCCGCCAAGGACCAATCAGAACCCACCAGGATTCCCTGAGAAATCCACAGACCAGTCAGTATCAACCAAGCGCTCCTGTCCCACCCCCCCCCACTCCATGGACCAATCAGAACCCTCCAAGATTCCCTCAGCCTCTCCACAGACCAATCAGTACCCATCAAGAGCCCCCCGCCCCCAAAACCCACGGACCAATCAGAACCCATCAGGATTCCCCGAGAACTTCCACAGACCAATCAGTACCTGCCAAGAGCTCCTGTAACCCTCCCCGCCCCCTGCCAAGGACCAATCAGAACCCGTCAACATTCCCTGAGCCCTTCCACGGACCAATCAGTACCTGCCAAGAGCTCCTGTAACCCTCCCCTCCCGCCACGGACCAATCAGAACCCACCAGGGTTCCCTGAGAAATCCACAGACCAGTCAGTATCAACCAAGAGCTCCTGTGCCCCCCCATGGACCAATCAGAACCCTCCAAGATTCCCTCAGCCTCTCCACAGACCAATCAGTACCCATCAAGAGCCCCCGCCCCCAAAACCCACGCACCAATCAGAACCCATCAGGATTCCCCGAGAACTTCCACAGACCAATCAGTACCTGCCAAGAGCTCCTGTAACCCTCCCCGCCCCCCTGCCAAGGACCAATCAGAACCCGTCAACATGCCCTGAGCCCTTCCACAGACCAATCAGTACCTGCCAAGAGCTCCTGCTCCCTCCCCTCCCGCCAAGGACCAATCAGAACCCACCAGGATTCCCTGAGAAATCCACAGACCAGTCAGTATCAACCAAGCGCTCCTGTCCCACCCCCCCCACTCCATGGACCAATCAGAACCCTCCAAGATTCCCTCAGCCTCTCCACAGACCAATCAGTACCCATCAAGAGCTCCCCGCCCCCAAAACCCACGCACCAATCAGAACCCATCAGGATTCCCCGAGAACTTCCACAGACCAATCAGTACCTGCCAAGAGCTCCTGTAACCCTCCCCGCCCCCTGCCAAGGACCAATCAGAACCCGTCAACATTCCCTGAGCCCTTCCACAGACCAATCAGCACCCGCCAAGAGTCGGGGGACCTTCACGGACCAATCAGGGAACGACAATCTGCACCGCCTATAATAAAAAGGCCTCGGGATTGGCTGGCCGGTCTGGCGCCCGCTCCGCTCGTCTGCAGCGGGCCCTGCGGGTACCTGCAAACTCTCGCTCCGCTTGACTTTCTCCCTGGCGTCTGCAGCTCAGTTCTGGGAGGGGAGCAGGTGGCGGCGACAGAAGCGGCCTTGGAACCAGGTGCCCCAAGCTGGCACCAGGAGGCGTGCACGGCGCCTCCCCCTCCTCCCCCAGAAACACCCTTCGGAGCCACAGTGGGTGACCAGCCACCCCTCCGGCCTGGGCAGTGCTGACCCCTAGGGCCTCCCCCCCTCTAGGATGGTTCCCTGGGGAGGCTGTGGTGGTCACCATGAGTGCAGGGACACTGGAGAATGAGCGTATCCACCAGGCCCGGGTGAGGGGCTGCTGCTTTTTGCAGGGTGGGGAGTGTCTTTTTTTTTTTTGCCAGAACCCTGCACCCCCCAGCAGAAAGCTCAGCCGAGCCCCTAAGTCAGCATTTCTCACCTGGGGGTCCCCCTGGGCACGTGGGATATTTCAGAGGGCCACAGGGAAAAATGCATCAATGGGGAGTGTATGTGTGTGTGTGTGTGTGTGTGTGTGTGCGCGCGCGCGCATGTGTGACACAGGAGCACAGGAGACAACCAAGGTTCGAGGGGCCACAACTGGACAAGGGTGGACAAACTTGAGCTCCCGGCTGTCTGGAAGGGGGTGGCCCAAGGTGGCCCCGTGGCACGGCTCTGCCCTCTGTGGCTTTATTTCTGGGCCCAGGGGAGCTGCCCGGGCGCATGGGACACCCCACGGGGGCGGGGGTGCTGCTAACACCCAGCGTCCCCTCCGCTAGCTACCCTGAGCCTGGGGGAGTCTGCGAGTCTCGGGGATCCGGCGGGCCTCCTGGAAGGGGTGTCCGCAGCACCCCGAGGTGCTCCCTGGCGCTCAGACAAGGATTTTTTTCTTTTTGGGTCACACCCAGCAATGCACAGAGGTTCCTCCTGGCTCACGCACTCAGGAATTACTCCTGGCAGTGCTCGGGGGACCCTATGGGAGGCTGGGAATCGAACCCGGGTCGGCTCTGTGCAAGGCAAACGCCCTACCCGCTGTGCTATCACTCCAGCCCCTCCGATGCGGATCTTGTACTGAATCCCCCCCAGCTGACGCTCCCCCTGCAACGAGGGGAGGCCCCGGGGAGGGGTGGCCAGAACCCCAGGCTGCGGGCGAGCAAGGTGGGAACTGGGGTGCCCCCTGAACGCGAACTCACGCGGAGAGGGGTAACAGGGAAGAGGGAAGGGGAGCGCAGCTGGGGAGCTGGGAACTGCAGCCCCGGCGGAAGAGCCCCTCAGTTCCTCCAAGCCAAGCCCTGCAGCGTCCAGGGGACCCCCTCTCCTCTCCAGCGCCAACCTTGGCGGCCGCTCCATCACCGGCGGTGCCAGCCTGAGTGCACGCGCTGGCGTGGACAAAATGCTCATTTGCAATCCAGAAGTGCGTCCAGGTGCCGCAGAAGGGGTGGGGGGGACGTGGGCACTGCGGCCAGTCCAGGGGCATCAGGGCCAGACGCTCCCCGTCTGCAGGAAATGAGCGAGAGCGCGTGCGTCTGGGTACCCGTGCGCGCGCGCACCTGGATACCTGTGCGCGCGTCTGGGTACTCGTGCGCGCGCGTCTGCATACCTGTGCGCGCATCTGGGTACCTGTGCACGGAGGTGCATGAATGCATGTGTGCCTGCTGCCGTGCTCTGCGTGCCCAAGGGACCCGGTGGCCACAGGATACTGTGGGGACGTGAGCTCCGCAGGGCGAGGGCACGCCGGGGGGTCCCCCTTTTGCCCCCGTCGTGTGCACACAAGCTTTTGTCCCCAGGAGGCGTCCACACTCCGGAGCCGCAGTCTAGGAGAGGCGGCAGCTGGAAGGCCTCCCCGGGGCTTGCCAGGGGTGGGAGTAGCCAGTGCCCCCTGGAGTGACGTCACCCCAGCCTCTCCATCCGTCCACGCCTGCGTCATTCCACCCACAAACACACCCACTTACTTACCTGCCAACTTCTTCCACCCACCCACAACCCACCCATCCCCACGGCCATCTCCCTCCCCACACGCCCTCCCACTGGCTCCCCAGACCTCGTTGCTACCCTCCACCTCAACTGCTTCTGGGTAAATCCACCACCACAGCCCGGACGCGGGCACCTCAGACCTCCTGCACTCCCAGAAAGCAACATCTGCTCCTCCCATCACACCCCCTGACCGCATGGGGTGGGGGGAGCAACTGGCAGGCTCTTCTGCGCCCTAGGGGATTCCTCCAGACTCCTGGGAGTCAACAACCCCACCCGTCATAAGTTCTGG